CCACACAGAGTAAGGCTCACAGCAACGAATACCAAGCTAAATCAGAGACAAAACCCACACACACGGGGCCCGGGTACAGTTCATTGGGAGAGAAATGACCTAGCCTGTGTGAGGCCATGTACTTGGTTCCCAGCGCCACACAGTGAAAACAGCCACAACAACACACCTCTCAGGTTGTGCGTCCCGACTTCCTAATGGCGTTTGCCAACCTCCATCAACACGCCCTCAGAATGACTCATCTTACTTTCTAACTTGTTTTCCTTTCTTCAGCTTTCGAGCTAATTTTGGTGTCATCCTTCAGCATGGACTGGAAGAAAGGTTTTAAAGAAGGGGCTCCTTGGGGGCAAGCAAATATAGCTTTTAATCTGATTGACTTGATTTTTATTTTAGTAATACCCAGAGGAGTGTTCATATGTGACTGAGCCTGAAATAATAAAGCATCGAATAATTGTATTTTGGGGAAATAGGTTAGTCCATGGCTAAAGGCATCATGGGGTAGCAGCAGTTCTTTCTGAGCATTGACCATCAAAACTCTTACCACATCACCCATTTCATGTGTTTTTTAACTAAGAAATTTAACGTGTGTGTGTGTGTGTGTGTGTGTGTGTGTGTGTGTGTGTGTGTGTGTGTACACCATGTACCATGGAGCACCTGTCTGTAGAGGTCAGACAACTTTCTGGAATTGGTTCCTTCCACCGTGTAGGTCTGGGGATCAGATTCAGGTCACCAGGTTAGATGACAAGCGCCTTTACCACTGAGCCATCTGTTGACCCAATTCCACGTGTGTTTGACTGGATACTAATAATTAAAATTGTAGAAATATTGGGGGGGGCCTATGTGGATACTACATTGGGAACAAAATTCTACTAACGAGATCACGTTAGCCGTGTTTCTCCTGATGAGAGAAAAAAACACGAGTCCTTCCTCTGTCATGAGCCATTTGTAGGCTGACTTTTGTCTGCCTGGGTTTTATCTGGGACAACCGAGGGGTCATGAGTTGCTGCTGCCACCTGGTGGTCAATATGTGTAACTGGCATCTGCCCCCCGAACCACTCAGGAGCATCCTGCTTGGAGTTCTTCTCTCTTTCATGAACTCTCACCAACTCCTAGGAGGGCCAGGCAATGTGACAGTTAGTCAGGGAACAGCTGCGTCTCCACCTTTCCTTTGTTTTACGGTTTGCAGCCAAGTTTATTTAACCCCACACACTTTCGCTCTTGGGACTCACATTCTCTTTAGCCCTTCCCCCAGTCCTTCCTTGGCTCCCCAGTTTGCCTTCTCCTTTCCGAGGTCCCTTTTTGTGTGTGTCACCAGTGACACTACCCACAACTTTAAGGCATAAGTGCTATGCCGTTAGACATTTCCCCCCAGACAAATGAAAACCCTAAACCTAACGATTTTTTTCCTGTTAACTTCTAAGTGCCACAGAAGACTCTAGAATTCTCCTCCAGAAATCTCTTTTCATCTTTGCAACTAGCTGTGCTGCTTGTCTCTCACTCTTTATGAGACACTGATACAGAAGAAAAAAGATTACTCGGCTCTTCCATTTCCTATTTTCTAGAAATAATAAACGTTGCTTTTTACTATTTTTATCATAAATATTCAAATCATTTCACTGTGGATTAAATCAGCCTTCTTAAGGGTGTTTGTGAATATAATCATTAGTAATAAAACTGTTTTGGGGAAGAATTTATTCTGAATTTGAACAAATAGCTTAAAAGCTTTGGAAATGTAGTCTACTTTACCCAGGCCATTTTCTGCAGCTGAAAAACAGATAAATCAGTGGCTATTTTGTTTATAATAGAAAAATATTTGCTACTTCCCAGAGTAATTTATCATACACTCTAAATAATGTGATTTTTTTAAACCAATGCACTTAAACTGGGATTCAAGTGTAGAGAATTTTCAGGCAGTGAGGTTTATAAAAACCCAAAGATGCCACAAGGACAGCCACCAACAATCAGAGAATTCTGAGGAACTTCAGCATTTTAGAGCTCTGTTTATTCCAAAGGTGCAGTTATATAAAATGTTCTTACTTGCAAGCAAAATAAACAATACTCAAGAAAAATCATGGCATGGGATATGTTACCTTCCAAGAAATCCCTAGAATTTTTGTGGGATTGCTAAGTCAAAGAGCATAGATAGTTGTGATTTTAATAGGTGCACAAATTCTCCTCTGTAGAGACTATGGCAGGTATCTTCCTTCCTTTCTTTCTTTCTTCCTTGATCCCTCCCTCCTTCCCTCCCTCCATCCCTCCCTCCTTCCCTCCCTCCTTCCCTCCCTCCCTCCTCCCACCCTCCTTCCCTCCCTCCCTCCATCCCTCCCTCCTTCCCTCCCTTCTTCCTTTCCTTACTTTCTCCCTTCTTTTCTCTATTTTTGACAGGGTCTCTCTATGAAGTCCCCAAAGTCCTGGGATTCCCTGTCTGGCTTGTTTTTATTTTTATTTTTTATTTCTCTGTGGCTTTCAAGGCTGTCCTGGAACTTGCTCTTGTAGACCAGGCTGGTCTCGAACTCACAGAGATCCACCTGCCTCTGCCTCCCAAGTGCTGGGATTAAAGGCACGTGCCACCACTGCCTGACTCAACTTCTTTTTAGATTCCATATATATGTTAGATTTGGTCCTAATCTTTCTTTGCCTGAATTATTATTAGTAGTATTAGTATTTTGGTTTTTCGAGACAGGGTTTCTCTGTATTGTTTTGGAGGCTGTCTTGGAACTAGCTCTTGTAGACCAGACTGGCCTTGAACTCACAGAGATCCACCTGCCTCTGCCTCCCGAATGCTGGGATTAAAGGCGTGTGCCACCAACGCCCGGCTCTGTTCGTTCCTGAATTATTACACTTAGCATAATAATCTCTCATGTGGTCCTAGATAATACAATTTGGCTCCTTTTTTTTTTTTTTTTTTTTTTTTAGAGATAGGTAATGAATGTGTTGGTTGCTTTTCCCATTGCTGTGATAAAATTCCCGACACAGGCAACTTACAGGAGGAAGGGTAAACTTCAGTTGACCCTATGGGTTGCTAGGAAGGATCAGTTGTGGGAGGTCAAGGCAGGCCGTCAGAGAGCATCTTTGGTCAGGAAGCAGAGAGAGACGAATATTGTTGCTCAATTCTCTTTCTCTTATTCTACTTTTTATTCATTGAGGAGCTAAGTTCATAGGATGGTCCTGACCACACTTAGGGTGGGTCTTCCTTCGACAGTCAAACCTCTGCCGAAGCTTCCTCAAAGCCACACTGAAAGAGTGCTTTCAAACCCAGTAAGACAGATGGTGAAAATTAAATGTCACAAATAGTATCTCACCATGTAAGTGTATGGAGCTTCCTTTACCCATTTAGCTGCTGACAGGAACTTTGACTCCACATTGAGGCTCCCGTGACCAAGGCAGACATCCTTCTGACATTGAGGCTTCCTGTGACACAGGAAGACATCCTTCTGACACTGACTTTCGTGGCCCTGGATACGGTCCCTGAAGTGGGTTGCTGGATCACATGGTAACTAAGTTTTACTTCTTTTGAGGAATATTGACACCGTTTCCCATAACAGCCATACGCACCAACATTCCGACCAACAGTGCACAAGCATGTTTCCTTTCGTCCTTGCCAGGCCTTTCCCCTTCACTCTGGTGGGTATTTAGTGATGTCTCCTTATGGTTTAATCTGCATTTTCCTGATGCTTTGTGAGGCTCAGCATCTTCTCACGAACCTCTTAGCCATCAGAATCCTTCTTGTGAGGAGCATTTGTTTGGGACTTGTGCCCATTTTAAAACTGGATTATTTTTATGGCATTGGATTGTCTGAGGATTGATACACTTGGGACGTTAAACCGCTATTAAATGTCTGGTGGCAAGTATTTTCTCCACTCCCTGGTGTGTGTGTGTGTGTGTGTGTGTGTGTGTGTGTGTGCACCAGAGATCATCAAGAGTTACACACCTTGTTCTTGTGACAGGCTCTGTCATCAGCCTGGGGCTCAACTGCGAGGCTAGGCTGGATGACCAGCAAGCCCCAGGGGTCCTCCCATCCCTGCCAGTGCTGGGATAACAAACACACATCACCAAAGATTCTTTTCCTTGGTTCCAGGTGCTGAACTCAGCACCCCGACCCCTCATCCTGAGCCACCCTCAGGTTTAAGGAGCTTTTCCACTGTGTTCTCTTCCAGTAGCTTGAATTCCAGTCTTGCATTCCGTTTGAATGGATTTTCATATGCAGTAGGAGAGAGTCTCATTCTTTTTTTTTTTTTAAATATGTGGCTATGTTTATGCGGTAAATTGGAAGACTTTTTTTTAAAGATTTATTTATTCATTTATTATTTATTATGAATACAACATCCTGCCTCCATGTCTCTCTGCACACCAGAAGAGGACACCAGATCTCAGCCACCATGTGGTTGCTGGGAATTGAACTCAGGACCTCTGGAAGAGCAGTCAGTGCTCTTAACCTCTGAGCCATCTCTCCAGCCCCCGAGAGTCTCATTCTTAAGCATGTGAACAACTCATTCTTACAAGACCATTTGTTGATGGGAATGCCCTTCCTCTGCTGTGTGTTTGTGAAGTAAGAACATCCTGGTCCTAAGTGCTGGATTGATCTCCCTCCCTCCCTCCCCCCTTCCTGCTCCACTTGTTTAGGAATCTTTTTATACAAGCACTTTTCTCTTTTGATGCCAATGACTTCATTATGTATTTTGCAGTCTGGTTGTGTGATGAATCCTCCCAGCGGCTGTTGCTCTGCTGCTTCCTCCCCTCCCCCTCCTTCTCCCTCTCTCCTCCCCCTCTGTCTTCCCCCTCCTCCCCCTCCTCCTCCCCCTCCTCCTCCCCCTCCTCCTCCCCCTCCTCTTCCTCCTCCTTCTCCTTCTCCCTCTCTCCTCCCCCTCTTCCTCCCCTACCCCTCCCTCTCCCCCTTCTCCTCCTCCTCCTCCTCCTCCTCATCTTTCTCCTCCTCTTCCTTCTCCTCCAAGGTTTCCTTGGTTAGGGAACTTTTGTGGTTCTGTATGAATGTAAGGGTTGTATTTTCTTTTTTATTGAAAAATGATTTTGGTATTTGACAAGGATTAAATCCATTTAACTATATCATTCACATTCTCTTACCTTAATCCAATTGATTGAAATTAATGACAGACAATTTTTTTTTTTAAGACAGGGTTCCTCTGTATTATTTTGGAGGCTGTCCTGGAACTTGCTCTGTAGACCAGGATGGCCTCCAACCTGTCTCTGCCTCCCTAGTGCTGGGATTAAAAAAAGTCAAAAAGAAAGATTATTAGTCAGAAATCTGAAAAGCAACTGAGCATCTACCATGAGCCCTGCAATCTTCTATACATTTCTGTGGACCAGCTTATGGAATCCTCTATGCCATCCAGAAAGATCTGTTATCATTGCCACTTTACAAAGAAACTGAGGAAGAGGTTGAAGACACAGCCTCTTTATCTCAACCGGGAGCTATTTCACTTGAGAATACATAAATGAGTGGTCTCCAAACAGTTCTTATTCAAAACTAGGATTCCATGAAAAGTATAGTCATCTATTTATATATCTTAGTACAAAAGAAAAAGACAATTAATGAGCTTAACACTCCGCAGAGTATTTCCCAAAATCGTCAAAGGATTCATAACAAGGGTTAATATCGTAAAAGCTGTAATCACACACACACACACATACATACATGTGTTTGCGTACGCACGCATGCGCCCACACACTTACTGAGAATAAAATTAGTTCTTGTGCAAGAAGTGGAGGTTTTGAAAAACTATAAGAGAACTTACAACTTAGAATTAATAAATGGAGAAAAGATAAGGACAGTTCCTAAAATAAGTGTAATTTACAAAAAGGGACGTGAAAAGGAATAGAAAAACGTTATATGTCAATAATCATTACTATCCAGGTAGTTAAAAGTCAACCCATGAGAAGACTGCCCCCAACCTACAAGTTTGCAACAGATGGTTTTCTGGATGATATAAACCTGTTTTCATAAAAAAAGAGCAAGGGTTACTAAACTTGCTCTATGAACTACTATTACCAGTAACTAGAATAATATATGACAGAAAAGTTATAAATGAATTTCACTTATGAATAGGCACCAAAATCCTAAATACATGTTTCGAGATGAAGTCCAGCAACATATAATTAAAAGTGTTTCATGGACCGGAGGTGGTGGCGCACGCCTTTAATCCCAGCACTTGGGAGGCAGAGGCAGGCGGATCTTTGTGAGTTCGAGACCAGCGTGGTCTAGAGAGTGAGTTCCAGGACAGTTTCCAAAGCCACAGAGAAATCCTGTCTCGAAAAACCAAAAAAAAAAAAAAAAAAAAGAAGAAGAAGAAAAGTGTTTCATGGATGATTTGCACTTTTCCCAGAGTGCAGAGACAGTTTGAGATGAGAGACCTGTGTTTTGATATTTTTCATATTAATGGGAAAAGAAATGTGTACATCTCCAAACATTCAGAAACAGTTTCTGATAAAATTGAAGGCATCAGCTTGTGGTACCATTTTGTTTCCATGAAACTGGGGCAAGGACTTCTTCTGCTTGTATATCCCCTTCAAAGCAAAATTGAAGAGAGGACAAGGAAAGTCGTGGGGACAGGAGTTTGCAGTGGCATTTTCTGAATGGGGTTGTTTAGTTCTAGATCATCCACATATTAAATGAAAACATGAGAGATCCCAACTCAACATTTTTAGACCCCTAGCAACTAGCCCATCACAGAGTGAGTTGTCCTTCTGGCCTCTCCTGAGAAACCGGAGACCTCAAGATAAACTTAAAAGATAGCACTCCCTGATCCAGGAAGTAGCTCACCACATTCCTGCTCAATGTTTAAGTGTGCAATGCCTGAAGAATGCTTGCTTGAGATAACCTATAACCTTCCTGTTAAGACACAAGCTATCATTTAACTTCCTCATCCTTTATGTTTATGATGTTTGCCTAACTCCCCCATCCTTTATATTTGCCTAACTCCCCCATTCTTTATGGTTTTCCCCTTTTTAAAAAACCTGGACTGCAGCTACTAGGGGTCGAACTCCTCTGCTCCTGTGAGGGTTACGAGCTCGGCCCCAGTGCACTGGTTCCCTGAATAAACCTTGTGTTCTTGCATCAAGATCCGTCTCTCTTGAATTATTGGGGGCATCGGCTTATCCCGAGACTTGAGTGAGGGTCTCCCCACTTTGGGGGTCTTTCAAACACAATTGAAATAACAAAGGAAGTGGTAATTATGTTTTATAAGATGAGACTCTGGAGAAAGAGGGAACACATGTTTAAAAAATAGGAAAAAAAGGGCTTTTTTAATTTTAGGAAAAAGATTAATTTAAACAACAACAAAAACAGGATATTCCTGTGTCTCACTATATAGATCAGGCTGGTCTTGAACTCACAGGGACTTTTCTGCTTCTGCCTCCTAAGGGCTAGGACTAAAGGTGTTTACCACACACCTCACCAGAAATTTAGTAAGTATGCAGAAATTAAAAGGTAGATTTAAAAATGTAAATAGAGTTATCAAATAATGGGGTTTATTTCAAGTTTTTTCTTTTACATTTGCTTATTTATTGTGAGTATGTGTATGAGAGTGAGAGAGGGAGAGAGAGAGAGAGAGGGAGAGAGAGAGAGAGAGAGAGAGAGAGAGAGAGAGAGAGTCCATATACCTCAATGCTCTGAAAGTTCACTCTCCTAAGTGGGCCCCAGGGATTGAATCAGATCACCAGGCTTGGCAGCAAGCACCCTCAGTCACTGAATCATCTCACTGGCCCCCGTAATGGAATTTTAAAGAAAACAATTTGCCATTCACTTTAATGTATTTGGACACCCCCCACTCCCTTTGATACTTAAAACTGGGCAATGTTTCAGAAATCGAACTTTTAAAACTTAATTTGACCATAGTGTGGCCATCAGCAAACAGCTACCAATATATCAAGTGCAAATCTTTATCTAAATTTATGATAGAGTAACTGAAATTAATCCCATTTTCCCAATGCCCGTGTGCAGAGCATGTAGAAATGTAGCAATTTCATGAGCAGCAGAGACAATGCTTATTAACAAGTTTCTTTACTTCACTTGCTCTGCCTAAGGGTGGGCAGGGAATAACATATGCAGAGGAGACTCCTGCTGCCCTCACAATTAGAGATGGTTTGGGCAATAAATAGTTCAAAGGTTTAGGAAACAAAAAAAGAAAAAGGAAAAGACGAAAGCTTACAAGGACTAAGAAATGGGGGAATGGTGAGAACAAAGGAAGACAATAGAAGTGAAGAATAGTGGGCTGGAGAGATGGCTCAGAGGTTAAGAGCACTGACTGCTCTTCCAGGGGTCCTGAGTTCAATTCCCAGCAACCACATGGTGGCTCACAACCATCTGCAATTCAATCTGATGTCCTCTTCTGGCATGTAGGCAGAACACTGTATATGTAATAAATAAATCTTTTTAAAAAAGTGAAGAATAGCACCAACTGCTGTTTGGATCTAGTTGGACAGACTTACAGAAAAAGGAGGTTACGTGCACTCCAGCTCAGATGAAGTTCTGGTTTGCAGTATTCAGACTAGGACAGTGTATTCCAGATCAACCCAATGCTTCTGACTGTTTGGTTACTCAAGTGAAATAGCCCCTAGAAGACGGTCTCTTCTCATCTCTTCCTTTTCCCACACAGGGCCTATTCATTAAATGGCTGAGTGTTTGGGAAGACATACCAGTCCTATTTTTAAGTAAGATCCAAATGACAGACAATTAATGAACTGTACTGATAATTAAGGATTTTAATATTTATAGGCATCTGTCACTTTACATTTTAGGATAGTCTAGCCATATGTGGTGCTCTTTTTTAATAACAGTAATTGAAGTTTATGAACATACACTGTGAAGATGTAGATTCTGAATTATCAGCTGATAAGTTGTCTATCTGTCTTTACTTTTTTGAATGGGGTAGGTATTTATTCTATTTTTGTAGTACAATGCATGACCAAGGCAAAAGAGTTTATTTGGGCTAATGTTTCCAGGGGGCTAGAGTCCGTCTTAGCAGGAAATGCTACAGTAGGCATGCTTGCTGGAGTAGCTGGGGCTCACATCTTGGATAGCAAGCATGAAGCAGCGAGAATGAACTCAAAATGGTGTGAGTCTTACAACTTTCAAAGCCTGTCTCCAACGACATACATCCTCCAACAAGGCCACATCTCCCAAGACTCCCCAGACATTGCCCTCAAACTCTTAGCCCTCTAGCCTCTTTCTTCTGAGCTGGAGTAGGTAGGTTATAGACAGGTCCCACTGGAGTAGGTAGGTTATAAACGGGTCCCACTGGAGTAGGTAGGTTATAAACGGGTCCTACTACACGCCGCAAGCCTTCCATGTTTAGTTTAGTTTTGTGACAAAGTAGTTCAGACATGGAACTTACCGTGTAGCCCCAGGTTGGCCTTAAACTTTCAATCTACTTGTCTCAGCCATCTGAGCGCTTATGTTACAGATGTGTACCGCCAAGCCTAACAAAAGTCATAAACCTATTCTATTCTTTGTTTGGTTTGTTGTGCACTTTTCAAGTCTCAAATTCTACCCTAAGTCTCCAGCAATGAGCACCTGGTAACACACACACACACACACACACACACACACACACACACACACACATTTGAATGGGGTCCCACCCATTAACATCAACTGTTAATAACAATCATTAAGACTAATGCTAAGATTTAACTGTATAGAATGAGACTACCTATAAAGAGAAACCCTGTCTTAAAAAAAACAAAAAAGAATACCTATAAATGTTATTGCCCAAGTCATATTTTTCATATTTAACATTATTTAGTATGTGAAATATATCAATACTTACCAATGATTACTTTCCTAATCCTCACTCAGGTTTCAATTTTACGTGAAGTAACTCCACAGGAGGCATCTCACAGGTTGAGACACACCTTCCAAGTTCCTACTTTTCTTTTATCACCAGGTGTAGCCTCCAAATTGACTACTATATGATTGTTATTCTCTTTTTGAAACCTGTCTTAAATATCACCACAGATTGGATACGATTCTCCCAATCCAGATGGGATTTGAAACAGCCCTCAAGGCAGCAAGAATACTAGACACATTAGAAAAAGTTTTAGCAAGAACGACAGTTTCCTAACTATGCTGGAGAAAGTCTGTTCCTTGATTTAAGCTGGGGGAAAGGATATTCAGTTAATCAAGAGACTGTAAATGGTCAAGGGTTAGAGCATAGATAGGCAGAACCTTAACCATAACTGTAGCCCTATCTTAGGAAGTCACTTGGCCATAAGACAGACTGACAGAAAGTCAACCAATAACAACTGGAACCTGCTAACAATCCAGGGAGCCAAATAATAGCCTCTCTAACTAGTGGCCCGAATGGCCAGGACACTATTAATACATTATAGTTTCCTTTGTTTTGTTTTTTTCCTTGTTTTTGTTTTTCAAGGCAGGGTTTATCCCTGTAACACCCTTGGCTGTTCTGAAACTCACTTTGTAGACCAGGTTGGCCTTGAACTCACTGAGATCCACCTTGTCTCTGCCTCCTGAGTGCTGGGATTAAAGGCCTGTGCCACCACCACCACCCGGTTTAAATTATAGTGTCCTTAATTTTAATCCCTGTTCCCCACCTAACATCAACAAAAGGGTCAAACACGCACCCATGAGCAAACTCACAGGAGACCCCATTTTCCTCGGCCCTCTTGCAGCTTCCCATGCCAAGAGGACCTGAGCAAGACCTTCTCCTTTCCCACTACATCACCCTCACTTTAGTTTTCTCCCTTGGACTGCCAAGATGCAAGCCAGCAGTGGCAAGACACCTATAGCAACCTTGGAATAAATGGCCTTTGTTTGTTCTCATATAGTTGGTCGTCATTTCATTTCTACTCAGTCAATACGTGAAGCACACATTGAGTGTCTGCTAATGGATGCCCATTCTATCCAGGAAAAGACCTGTACTCTTGGATCCAGCCACCAAGCTGGGAAGCTAATACAACAACATAACCTATTCTTCAAGTAACTATAAAACAATGAGGCCGATTACAAAGCAGGATTGGGCTTTTGTGGTACCAGAGACGGCTTTAGAACCTACAGCATGAAAAATACTGACCTGTATTCCGCAGGGGTGCGAGTCTGTTGTTCACACCGGCAGGATGGCTGGCCATTGGCCTGGGAGAAGTCATGTCAGCAGCATTCTGTCCTTCCCATGTTCCCTTGATGCTGACACCATTCTCAGGACCCCAGTTCCTGGCTTCTGGGTTTCTCATGCTGATTGCGAGATGCTGCAAAGGAAAGTGACAGAAACCTTTGCATTGTTGGAGAACCCAAGACAAGGGTTGCAAGAGTCTCTTCCCCACAAACCTCAGTAAGTGTTTTCACGTGAAACACTTTTGCTTTCAGTTCAGGTAAAACCTTCCTCTGAGATCTTGATTGATTATGGGGTCAGTGTGGTGGAAAATGCTATTTAATTCGACAGAATGAATTCATTTTCACAAACAATTAGGCTCAGTACCGCATAAGCCTTGTAAGTAGACTGGAACAAAATTTACTTTTCTTCTTTCTTTCTTTCTTTCTTTCTTTCTTTCTTTCTTTCTTTCTTTCTTTCTTTCTTTCTTGCTTCCTTCCTTCCTTTCTTTCCTCCTCCTTCTCCTCCTCTTCCTCCTTCTTCCTCTTCTTCTTCTTTTTTGAGACAGGGTTTCACTATGTATCCCTGGCTGTCCTGGAAGTCACTCTGTAGACCAGGCTGACCTCAAACTTGGAGATCTACACCTGCCTCAGCCTCCCAAGTGCTGGGATTAAAGATGTGTTCCATCACCACCCCGCTTTGAACCCAACTTGTGTCCAGTTGTTTATTTTCATGCTCGTGAGACTTTTTTCTTTTTCTTTCTTTCTTTCTTTTCTTTTTTTTTTTTTTTTTTTTTTTTTTTTTGGTTTTTCGAGACATGGTTTCTCTGTATTGCTTTGGAGGCTGCCCTGGAACTCGCTCTGTAGACCAAGCTGGCCTCGAACTCACAGAGATCCGCCTACTTCTGCCTCCCGAGTGCTGGGATTAAAGAGACTTTTTTCTATGTAAGCAATGAGTTCCTCTGAAACAACATGTCCTACTTGTTGAGAACCGGAGGCATTGGGCTTTCGGCCCTCTTCCTTTGGTGTATAGGGTCTTGTTAGAGCATACTGGCTTCCTGTTTTCTGAAGAGTTTGGAGTATGACAGGAACCTATTTGCCCTACTTGTGACCTGCCGCATTGCCTACTGGCTACAAACTCATAATAAGGGTCAATCGCAACCAGACTCAGGGAGGAGGAGCTGGCACCAAGTCCCTCAGACTGTGGCTAACACACTCCGAAACTGGCGAGTGCGTTTGATTGATAAACATGACAGTGTTGAAACAAAGTGTTGCAATGTAAGAGCAGGAGGAGACTGGCTTAGCTCCCTAGCGGGAGCCCCCCCAAAAAAGTCTGTTACATGGTGCTTGTATAACTCTGCAACTCAGAAAAAATGTAGTGGATTGCCTGAAGTGAAGTGAAGACAGAGCTTTTGAAGCTTCTGAGAAAAGACCAAAACATTCAGAGAAACTGACCGAGAAGCCAGCACAGGCCTCTCTGTGTGTCTTGAGAAGACACTACACTGATGCAGGAGATAAGGATACACTCCTGAGGGTCCCAGGTGGTCAAGCCACTCAGTGCCCTGTTCCTCAGGCCCAATCTGACATGAGATGTTGTGATAGAACTGGCTATTTAACAGCACGGAAGATAAGAGACTCACAAAGCGTCAGAGACCAGGAGGCGGGAGAGAAGGCTCAAGGGCCAAGACTCTCTTCCAAAGGGCTGTGGTTTGATTTCCAGCTCCTACATTGGGTGACTCACAAGCACTGATAACTTCACCTTTGGGGATCCACAGTCTCTTCTGACCTCCATAAGGCGCTTCCACAGATGTGTAAGCACATATCCTCACATACATACACACATGCATACATACACACATACATGCATACACACACATGCATATATACACACATGCATACATACATACATGTCCTTGGTAGCATCATACATTGAGTCCTTGGTTCCTGTCAGCTTCAGAAGCGTTCTTCTGCCCACTCCGGCCACTCCAGCCCAGGCGTCAATGTCTTGGTCTGGAATGCATAAGCTGATCACACCAGTTAGCTGGCAGTGTCCCTCCATCAGCTTTGCGAACAAGAGTTTCTTGAATCCTAGAATAATACTTATGTAGAAAAAGCCACATGGACCCACAGGAGGCTCAGTGGGTAAAGACTTGCGGCCAAGATTGATGACCTGAGTTTCTAGCCCTGGAACTCCTGTGGTAGAGGAAAGAAAACTATGGCAAGTTGTCCCCTGGCCTCCATGTTGTGTGGTGGCTTACACACACACACACACACACACACACACACACACACACACACACACACACACGGAAAAAAAATGGACAAATAGAAAATAGAGAGCCCTTCAGAATTTATGTCACTCAAAGTTGGGCCCCTCATAATCCCATCTAATTTACTACTCTAGCTCCTATAAAGTGACAATGAGTATGAATGAGTCATGGCACACGGCAGTGGACAGTCACAAAGGCAACCATTTCACACTCAGTTTTAGCTGCTGTCCTGGCTCTCATGCCTTTATCAGAGCATATTAACCCAGACCTGGCATGTGGTAGGCAGTTACTGATCTGGAACCTGACTGGCGAGGAGAATCTGTTAGGGAGTGACCTATGGTCCACTTTCACTGTCTCTCACCCCACTACAGTGTCGCCACGTGCTAGTGTATGGTTATTACGCCTCATGCTCCCAGGATGTCAGGCAGTATTTAACGGCTTGTCAGGCTGCTCTGCATGCTATGGAACATAATCCTTGAGAACACGGTGAGTGCTTTGGCTACAGTGTGTGTTCACTGCTCTGTAAGACGCTAAGCCAGCACTCATGTCAAGTCAGTGCTGCAAGACAGAGTTTGGACTTGAGATCCGGCAAACGTATCCCCCATTAAAGTATTGGGAGTAAGTCCCTGCCAGTCACAGAAGGGTCATTATGGATGACAGAGACTTCGTCATAGTTGTCTAAAGGCTGCAATTTTGTGTGGCCATCTTTTCTCTAAGTTACCAGCCTTCCTCAGTTTAGAAAAGCAGATTCTGCTCACCATCCTCTTCCTCACATGGGTAGCATGGCAGCTCCATTATACTGATGAACTTCATTATTTCATTTAGCTCTCCTTGAGAGCCAACGGTGTCTTCTGTCCACCACTTGCCCCATAAGTGACACACTGGATGCATTGGTTAGGTGCATCCTCCATTTCCTGTTTCTTAGCAGTGTCAGGGGTCAAATCCAAGGCCAGGCAGGCAGGCGGGCGGGCAGGCTTGTACCCCTGAGCTGTAGCTCCAGTCCTGGGCACACCCCTTTGGAACCCTAGTCTATCACTCCTCTGGTTCATACGTCTGGTGTTCTATCAGCTTTGATGCCTGTGCGTATAAAGACCATTCAGCTTCCCAAATAATCTTTAATGAAACAAGAAAATGGCTTCATCACATAACGTGCCTCTCTAGAGATCGATACATTTTAAAACCACAGAGTGCTTTTTCCTGAGATGTGCTGCACATATACATTGGACCCACAGAGACGAGAACATGGAATTCATTACTCTCACTCCATTTCTGATCCCGTGTGTTGTTCAGCCAGTGACCTCTGGTACAGATGTTTTGCCAAAACTCGTTCGCTTTCTGCTTCTGGCATATAATATCAGCCATGAACTTCAGGGCCGGCTTCATGCTTTGTTTAAAATAAATTGCATTTATTATTGTGGTTGTTGTGTGTAACGTGCATGTGTGGGCTTTCATGCCACAGTACATATGCAGAATCGGAGAGCAACCTTACGGAGTGAGTTCTCTTTTTCCAGCCTCATGTGGGTTCCATTCAGGAACACTAACCCAGGTCGTTGCACTTGCGCAGGGAGTGACTTTGCCCACTGATCCATCTCACAACTCTGGTTTTATGTTTGATTTTGTTTGCCTTGGTATTTGGTTGTGGTTTGTCTAAGTAATATCCCTGTACACTCGTGCTGTCTTTACAAAAAAGATTTATTCATTTTTTAAAAACCAGTACGTGTAATGAGCATTCTTCCTGCCAGCCAGATCCCAGAGCTGTGTCAGTCCCAAATGAACACGTAGGATGCTGTATTAATTATGAAGCTGTTGGCCATTTGCTATGATTTCTTTTCTTTCTTTTTTTTTTGGTTTTTCGAGACAGGGTTTCTCTATTGTTTTGGAGGCTGTCTTAGAACTAGCTATTGTAGACCAGGCTGGCCTCGAATTCACAGAGATCCACCTGCCTCTGCCTCCTGAGTGCTGGGATTAAAGGCGTGCGCTACCAACGCCCGGTTTGTTATGATTTCTTGTTGGCTAGCTCTGACTTAATTATTAACCCATAACTGCTAATCTCAGTATTTCCACGTGGTCTTCTCTTACCGGAGAAAGGGTCCAGACCTCTTACTCTTCTTGAGTCCTACATGGTGTTGACTGTGCCTGTTTCCCAGAATCCTCCACTTCTCCTAGTCCCACCTATCTTGCTTCCCTATTGGCTAACAGTGCTTTATTCATCAACCAATAAGACAAACCTATACACAGGACTTCCCCCATCAAGTACGAGTGTTCTGCCTGCATGTATACACGCACACTAAGTGTGTGCCTGGGGTCCTTGAGGCCAGAAGAAGGTGCTGGATGCCCTGGAACTGGAATTCCAGACCTTTCTAAGCCTCTACGAGTGTACTGGGGAATCAAACCTGGGTCTTTTGGAAGAGCAAGCATTTTTAAACCATGAGCTAAGTCTCCAATACTAATTTTTAATTGTCATAACCCTGACCCTGTGACTGACATTTCTTCCTCCTTGCTTTCCACAAGACAATTGATTATTTTCCTATTTGGAACATAATACTTAGTTTTTACCTTTGGAAACTTCCTATGGGTATCAGAAAGGTCACCTAGTTTGTATGAACATGATGCAGATGCTTGGATGGTTTTGTGTTGTTATGTGACAAAATTTTGATCCAGACAATACACTGAAAAAAAAAAAGGTACAGGACTACTTGGACAAATCTAATTTTCAGACAGTCACCAGCCTACATCCGATCCTCACTTTCCTTCTCAGTGCTCACGTGAAGCCATCACCATCCCAGATTCACTTGCCCCAGCATGCAAGAATTCACATGCTGTGTGTGCACTCCAGTATTGTTGATTACCTACACACGAAGGGAGCTATTCTGAACTGCAGTGTGGACGGGATGTTCTCATTACTGCTTTTTATGTGACAGTAGACCATTTTGGGCCACCAACTCACTTTTATGAAATGAAGATAAAAGGTAAGGCAAGAAGAGAAATTAAAAGGCATATATAACACATATATAATAAACAGTATCACATACGTTTGTTGGAAGCATGCAATCCAGAAAATAGAATACCGTATTTACTGGATATTAGCATCCATCAAAATGATCAACAGAGCTGATAGGCACGTGCAATATTGAAACCGAATCAATTTTAGGTTTTTCTTTTATTTTTAAATCTATGTTTTGTAGATAGGCAAGCAAGCTTATAGATATCTGCTGAAGTTGCCTGCAGTCTGGCAGAATTCTGGAAGTGACTTATGGTCTAAATTACAGACTGTCCTATGACTTCTATCGCCCCCAGAAGTTCTAAATATTGAGCAGCTTTAATCCAAAAGTTAAAAATTGGACATGCCCCAAAATCTGAACTATTTGAGCTCCAACATGATAATGCCCCAGGTGGAAAATCCTACCATACAAAACTTCCTTCCTACATTCAATGGTTAAAAACACTATAGAATTACCCTCAGGGTCTGTTCAAAAGGTGAAATGTGAAATAAATTAATTTGGGTTTTATACTTTGTTTTCATTCTCCAAATATCTCATTATATGTGCCAACGTTACCAAATCCAAAAAAAATATCCAAAATATGAGCTTCTTCTCTTACCAAGTATTTCAGTTAAGGGGTATTCAGATTGTATGAATATTTGTCTAGAATTTTTACAAGTTTTTTTCCTCTAAATGATTAAATTCTCCGGATTTTATTTCAACACGTTATTCAAAGCTATCCCTTCACTTCTCCCTGAAAATTAATATAATTGGAACTATTTGTGAGTGATTTAATTTTCTTCATTTATCTAAGTGTCAGCTTTATCATGCACACTGCCTTCTGTGTCTATAGTACATTTTCAGAGGACCCGTTAGATCAGTCCTGGGTTATGTCAGCCTTAGTTCCCGTCCTTTGCCTCCATTTTCTAAGTTCCAAATCGGCTGTTCTTCTCCAAGACATGGATGTATTCCTGAGCTAGCCTTGACACAGGAAACTGTGGGGTAGGTGAGAAACACTTCACCAATACGGATATTTTTCCTTCCTGTAGCTGTTTCTTATTCCTAGTAATAGCTGTATATTCTCTCCCCCTCTCCCCCACAGTATTCCTGATGAGACCTGGGTGCTTATGCGTGGGAGCCAAGGGCTCTGGGTAGGAACCACATCACCAGCCCTCAAAACATCTCAGGCTTTGGCAGTGTTACCGGCAGGAAACCGCGTAAGAACATACTGTGACCAAGTCTTCCTAGTTATGATGCCACAAACGAGGAGGCTGTCATCCATTAATGCAGCAGGTCGCGATTTTCCTCCAAATGGACTGTGGAGATACTGCCATTATCAAAAGACCAAAGCCGATGTAATTTGGATTACATCTTTAGGTCTCTAACATTGGTTGAAAAGTAACATTTGACTTGGCTCTTCAGTTTTCTTGGTCTCCATGGGTGTAAGCCAAAGTGTTTCTCATATGCCGCCTTCTTTTCTGAATTAACTAAGCTAGAAGGTTTGGCTTGGGTACCCGGAGGGCATAGTTTCCAAGTAGACACTCGGTTAACAAAACAAAACAACACAAAGCATGCTCAAAACCTCCTGCGGGCCTCGATAAGGGTTTGCGTACTCCACACATAGATCTTCCATGCAAACATCCTTGGATCCAGATGACTCACAGAGCATCCTGTGGTTAAGTGACCTGGAGCAAAGGACCCATCGCTAGCCTGGGACTGTCAGTAGCTAAATATCAATCAGTAGATGAGAACAGACTCCGAAGCTTCCCTTATAAACAGATCCCTATGCCTCTCCCCCAGCTGTAAACAATGATAGCTGCTAGCCTCATTAGGGGACTAGCAGATGGCTTAGAAAGTCCTCATTGGAGTGGCCACCTGTTTGTGGCTTGCAGCATAGAAATGCTCGTCTTTAAATGGTTTAAAATATGCCACGCGTTATCTGCTCTGTTTTCATTGAAGCCGATGCACTCTGATTCTAAGAAGGAAAATGTCTTTGATAAGCTTTGGTTGGCTGACTCTGCTGGAACCGATTTTCAGGCTAAGTTCTGACTTCCCGCCAACAGAGGCCACCTCCTCTTCTGCCTGTTCTGTGTGTATTTATGGGAACATCTACGATGAGCCAGCTGAAAGCCTTAGATACCTTGATGGACATGCCCTAACAGATGCTCAGTAGGGCTGAAGGACAGGCCTACGATGGACCAGCTGAAAGCAGTAGATACCTTGATGGACATGCCCTAACAGATGCTCAGTAGGTATTTGCTGAAGGGCAGGAACTAAAACTAAAGCGTAGCTTGAGTGTATATAGTGCTGCTATCAGTTAATCAGTCTTTGGCCGAGGACTGTTAGCAAGGCTAAGACCCGTGTAGTATCTGTCTAAAATTAAAAAGTGGTAGACATCTTAGAAAGTGCACTGCATCAGATTAAGCCTCTTCACAATAACATCTGAGGAAGCCTGATAGGACAACAGTCACTGTAATCAAGAATTTCCTTTGTAAAATATTATTATTATCATTTAATGTGTGTGTGTGTGTATCTGCATGAGAGTGTGCACACTAGAGAAGGTACCCCTGGAGGTCAAACGGCATCAGATTCCTTAGAGCTGTAGTTACATACACGGTTGTCAGCCACCTGATATGGGTGTTGGGAGCCAAACTCAGGTTCTCTACGAAAGAAATACGTGCTCCTAACTGCAGGGTCATGTCATTGCTCCAGCCCCAACTGAGCATTCCTACGGACAAGATTTTACTGCCTCGCTTAGCTGTGTAGAGTCTGAATACCTAAGGGGCACAAGTCATTTCCCTCCTCTGTAGAAGGCCTAGAAACACTCAAAGTTCGGAGTGCAGACTCCTTACTGCTTTGCAGTTTGTCGATTAATTGCAGAAGCATGTGTGCCTCGACTTCCTCAAGCCAATGGTCATTTGTTCTTACCCAGTGTCACTTGGGAGACCACATTTACCAACTAGTACTTACCAGTTGGTTCTGCTTGGTTCAAATCTTGCCTCTGCCATTGAAAGCAGTGTGCCTTTGCCTCACTTAGAAATTGGAAGCTGTTATGGGATTCTTCCTGCCAGCCTGGTCCCAGAGCCGCATCAACCCCAAATAACACACAAGACACTCTTAGTTACAGTGCTGTTGGTCAATGTCCAGGGCTACTCATTGGCTAGTTCTGTCTTAAGTATTAACCCATGACTACTAATATATATATTTCTATAAGGATTTATCTTTCTGAGGACGCCATCCTGATCACATGTCAGGATGTCTTCCCGGGATCACATGTCAACACTCCACCCTTGACTACATTTCCCAGAATCCCCCTCGACTCCTAGTCCCACCTATCTTGCTTTCTTATTGGCTAACAGTGCTTTATTTACCAACCAATAAGACAAACATATACACAGAAGGACTTCCCCCATTACGAGGTGTTTGCTATACTGAGGTTGAGCAGGCAAGTAGTTGGATATGAGGTCATCAAGGACAGTTGCAGATAAACTTTGGGAGCTGTGTGTTCCAGTTGTGGAGGGAGTTAGATGTGAGGGAACCAAGGCAAGCACAGCTGTATCTCCTGGTGTTCAGAATACCCCAAACATCCTGAAAGCTCGCTTCCATTCTTCCTACTACATTAGGAACAGGTGTCAGGGCACCTTCCCAGTTACAATCACCTGTGTGAGGGCGTCATCATCACACAGCCCCAAATTTATTTCGATAGCATTTGTACCATGGTTTTCACCTTTCCTGTTTTTTTTTTTTTTCTTTATGGACTTTTCAAGGGGATCACGGGAATAAATGTCTTAAGAGGGAGATTCAGTTCACTGTGATTTGAGAAGGGAGGTGGCAATCTTCCTCCATGAATATGTCACTCATCTCATAAATATTCATAAGCGTCCTAACCGCCCACATCACAGACCCACTATGTTATTCATCCACGCTCAGGACAGCACACTCTATTCTCTCTGGAGTAGAGTCTCCACTTCACTTTGCCTTGTTAGATAAACTTCTGCTGTAACTGTCTTTACCGCTCAGTTGAATTCTTCCCTTCGGGAAGAAAAGAGACAAAGCAGAAACCTTCCCAGGGTGATATTGTGAGCCTCAACCTTTCCTCATAGGGACGGAACGAGAATGAAACACAGTAAGCATTTCATAAGGGCTGTGAATATGTAATTAGTATCCTTACCGTTCTCACCCAAGCTACCAAAGACTCCGTCACTCTCATGTGCACTCAATGTTGCATACAGTTAATTCACGCCAAACGTTGATATTGTAGCTTCTGGTGTTTTCTTGTTTTGAGACAGGGTCTGGCTACATGAAGCTCCGGCTGACTTCCAGGTATGATCTTCTTGCCTCTGCTTCCCAGGTGCTGAGATTGCAAGTGTGCACCAGCACATCTGATGCGTTTAAACGAGAAGATGGAAATCTAGATTTAAAGGAAATATACGAGGTCTCACAATATTTGAATGCCACCGTATAATGGAAACTTTCGAAACTGAGGAGTGTGTCAAGCTCAAACTCATCATATCACAACCAGCTTTGTCCAAAGAACCACAGAAAAAAAGAATAGTGACCCGAGAATGCAGCAGAGACAGCAGCCAGTAGGGACAATGGCTCTCAGAGTGGCTTGGTCCCATCAAAATGACGTTATTGTATAAGTTTAACCTGGTCTGACTAGCTTGGGTCCCTCTGCTGTGTGACTGGCTGGTAAGAATTCTGCAGGGCACTGAGTCTCTCACAACTTCTTTTAAAGAGGATTCATTCTGGTCGATTACAACAAAACAGCAAAAAACATCTAATAATGAGGCCAACTTAAAAGATTACCATTTGCAGACACCAAGGTTGCTAATGATCCACAGAGTTGTCACTCTGAAGGTAGAAGTGCTGCTTTAAGTGCCTTGGGAAATTTAAATGATATTTCTTTTTGGTTTTTCAAGACAAGGTTTCTCTGTGGCTTTGGAGGCTGTCCTGGAACTAGCTCTTGTAGACCAGGCTGGCCTCGAACTCACAGAGATCCGTCTGCCTCTTTAAATGATATTTCTATCATCATCATCATCATCATCATCATCATCATCATCATCACCATTCCTATATCTACCAGTGTCTAGGAGCTGTCATAATATACCTCGGTTGTATAAGACAAGGCTTGGTCCTTGACTGGCTTTACCAACTATTGAAGTTTGGTTATGAGTCTGGCAGACTGCGCTGAGTCCTTCCCAACCTGGCTGATCTGAGGGCGCCGCAGCTGAAGTCAGTCTGGCCTGGGTTCCTATGCTTCACTCCTGACGTTCCAGCTGGTCGGGAATTTGGTCCAGACGATGAAAACATCGAAGAATCTGAAATGTTCCACAAGCTCACGGTTGCATGGTGCTGCTTTGGGAGGCTGTGGAACTTTGTAAAGTTTGTTCTAGCTGAAGAAAGTAGACCATTGGAGAGCAGGTCCCTACCTGTGCCCATTAGAGACCAGGCTGCGGTCTCTAATTCCTGGCCCTGTGTCTCCACACACGCTTATATCGCCAGGAACCTGAGATGCTCTCGTCAGAAAGGAGAGGGAGCCAAAACACGAAGGCGAATGTCTGAGAGGAATGGGGGTGTGGTAGTGGACTAATCCCTGAGGTGTTCCGTGCCTGCTTGGGAACAGGATAAATGATGTGGGAACCCCACCAGCCACGTGCGCATGCTCGGGCTCGCGGTCCTGTGAGCAACGGACAAGAGAACCCCGCTCTAGTCTTTCTCTCCAGCCTGTCCTGTTCCACCAGCCCCGGTCTACACTTAGTGTTCACCCCACTTCAGGCTCTTGCTCATCCGGTGGCTCTCATACTGTCATCTTCAGCAAAGAGACAGTCCGGCAAGCAGGTTCCATTTGCAGTCTGGCCTCCAGGGTGTGAATTAACCAGGAACATGTCAAGACCTGTGCCCAGCTGGGAAGGAGAAGCTCACATGCGGAAGTACAATATTGTCTCCTAGCTTGCTGTCGCAGTCTGTCTCTACACGGTGCGCGCGTGCGTGCGTGCGTGCGTGCGTGCGTGCGTGTGTGTGTGTGTGTGTGTGTGTGTGTGTGTGTGTGTGATTGCAGCCAAAATGTCAAGCTGTTATATCAGACCAAAGGGGGAAAGGGCAAATGGGTATGTCACACTCAAAACAAAACCGTGCTTCTTGTGTCGAAGAACAAGTGGTTATTTTAGACCAAGTCACTTCTTAAAAAGGCACGCTTCACTCGCCAAGAACTGGAGGAGAACCACCTAGTCCTTCAAGGCCTCCGCCTTGGCTTGCCAGCAGATTGCTGTGAGTGGGCAGGGACAGGGGTGGGGCATGCTGGGGGCTAATGACTGGAGTTGGAGAAAAATCAAGAAGTCTTTGTATTCAGTTTTCACTCCCTTGAAACCCACTGCCCTGTGGGAACCGTGCATAATTGATGATATTACTATGCAACAGTAGGATTACTGAGATCTGCTAATATTGATGAATGCTTTTTCATCTTTATTGCGCTTTTCAAGTATGCCAAAAACATTAAAAGTTCATAAAAGAAAATAACTTGGCTCCATCATGCCTGATCACATACCTGAAAATGAGTCCTTGCTACCACAAGCTTACTAGCCATCTGTGTTTATGGGGACAGTCTCATTTGTCACTATCTGTGGTCCCAGGTGCCTGGACGTTCCAGATTAACTTGGGTTTGGATATCAGCCTTTAGCAAAAGCAACACAGTTCTGGGAGACAAAATGTTATTTGATTCCAGAAATACTTTGAAGAGAAAAAAAAAAAAGCAGTAGTAGTCTTTGGTAGATACGATGCTCAAATGGCCAATGGTGAGTATTTGTTCTATCAAGCAATGGGGATTGGCCTCTTAAGCTTAAAATTTATCCCTTAATAGGAGCTAACTTAGAGCTGTGTGATAAGCCAAGGCAGTCTAAACTCAGTTCCTATCACCATAGCCAACAGCACAGAGTTTACCCTCCAAGGCAGACAGGGCGCAAATACATTTATGCCTATACATTCGAGGAGAACAAGACTCTAGACCCTAAGAGGTTGAAGTTAGGCCCTCTGCCACCCCAGGGTTATGAGGAAGAACCCACCTTTGGACAGTGCCTGGAGCTCAGACTCCCTTGTGCACTTAGCTGTCCCCCATCTCCCTGGGCAGTGACTGGTTCTAGGCAGTGTAGAGAGAAGCCTTTTCCTTGCCAGCTGCTTTGGCTTGTCCCCACCAGTCGCCTGGGCTCTGCCACATTGTAGTCTCCAAATAACACACAAGACGCTGTATTAATTATGAAGCTGTTGGCTGTTTGCTTGATTTTTTTATTTTTTTATGAGGCAGGGTTTCTCTGTATTGTTTTGGAGGCTGTCGTCCAGCCCAGCCTCGAACTCACAGAGATCTGCCTGCCTCTGCCTCCCGAGTGCTGGGATTAAAGGCGTGCGCCACCACCGCCCGGCCTTGCTTGATTTCTTACTGCCTATCTCTGACTTAAGTATTTACCCCATAATTGTTATTCTAAATATTTCTCTTACCGGATGGACATCTTACTCCTCTGGCAGGCTACATGGTGACTCCCTGTGTTTCTCCTACCCAGAATCCTGCTCGACTCCTAGTCCCACCTATCTTGTTTCCCTATTGGCCAACAGTGCCACTAATCAATGCACATCATGGCCCTAGTATGCACAAGGGGACCCAGTAGACTTGTGCATTTTCTCTCTAGGGGGCATGTTCTCCATGAGGGACTCTGACTCACCGTTCACTGTTCCCTGGACTGACCGGCAACACACAAAGTCTGAAGGCTCACGACAACCCAAATCAGGAACACCTGTCATTCACCACCCACACTTATGGAGGAAGCATGCATGCGAGTGACGCCAGCGGCTCAGCTTAGCTTTTGATATTGAGTGTCATCAAATCTTGACTATTTACTTACATAAAATGACTGATTTTATTCAATTTAAACATGTGGGAAAGTACATTTTCTACTCCCTGGGAGGTGACTATGAAGTCCTTCTGGTCCCAGCTTAGACCCTTCCCAAACACTCCCATGATCTATACCATCACCATCAATAGGTTAACTTTGAAAGAAAACTAACACTGACTTTGACGTAGATGGTAACATATAGGTGGGTGAACCAGAGAAAGTCAGTCACCTTTGAGATTTCACCCAGGAGGCTAAGTCGGTTTAAATATCTTTTGAATGGAGCCTGATGCAGCTTCTCTCGGAAAACAAGCAAAACAAAACAAAAGCCAATTTCTATCTCATTAGTGTCCTAACAACGGGGCTGAAATAAAGAGTAATGAAAGTTGACCACAGAAGGGAAGTGCAGAGGAGAGGGTGATGAATGTCTCCAGATTGTCTCAAGTGCGAAGGGATTGGGAAGCTTGAGCATGTGTATAACTTTTTATTTTGCCCTGATGCATGGCCATGTTTGCGAGCCCATGGAATGTAACATTTCACACCATTACATCCATTTGTAAGTGAGATTTCAATCCAGTGTGTTTCTAGGAAAGGAAATAAATGATGTTAAGAATGCGAAGCAGATCTCATAAAACAAAATGTTGTATTTTCCTCCTCCTCCCCCCTCTTCCTCCTCCTCCTCCTCCTTCTTTTTTTTTTTTTTTTTTTTTTTTTTTTTTGGAGACAGGGCTTCTCTGTGTAACAGTCCTGCTGTCCTGGAACTTGCTCTGTAGACCAGGCTGACCTCAGACTCACTGAGATCCGTCTGCTTCCGCCTCATAAGTACTGGAATTAAATGTGTGCACCATTACTGCCCACCCTCCTCCTCCTCTTTTTTTTTTTTTTTTGTTATTTTCAAGACAGGGTTTCTCTGTGGCTTTGGAGGCTGTACTGGAACTAGCTCTTGTAGACCAGGCTGGTTTCGAACTCAGAGAGCCGCCTGCCTCTGCCTCCTGAGTGCTGAGATTAAAGGTGTGGGCCACCACCACCCAGTCCCTCCTTCTTCTTCTCACAGGGAGAGAGTCACGTGTAGCCAGGACCAGCTTTGGCCTTGCTATGCAGCTGGAGATGACCTTGTCTTGTCTTCCTGCCTCCACCTCTCCAGTGCTGGGATCATACGTGTACACTGTCATATCTAGTTTTGTGTAGCACAGGGGGTCAAACACAGGGCTTCCTGCACACTAGGTAAGCACTCTACCGACTACATTCCTAGCCTCAGAATTCTGTATTTCAGATACGGGCATGTTTCAAAGAGACAAGTGCATGTTGCTGTACTACACATGCCATCCCAATCCTGAGGAGAGGCATGGTTCCCACCCTTTAGCTGAGTCTACTGAGCCTCGAGAAAGTTTGGGCATATCCTAAATTTAGCTGGTCTTGCTAGGGAAGGGTGGAGCCTGTGACAGACCTGGCATATTCCAGTCCAGAGTTGGTAAGCCTTCCCATTCTGCCGGACTGGCCGTAGGAAGATGCCACACCCAAGCACCTCCTCATCACATCTACTCTAAGCACCTTCAAATGGGGACAACACTGTCACAGCGTGCTAAAACTGATTCTTGGAAAGATGTAGAAATCTTGTCATTGCTATGAAGTACTAATATAGAGCAGAAATACAGATAGCCAGTATGCTGGTAGCACTGACATTTCTGGAGGAGGTGGGAGTCCCTTGGGGGAAATGCCTGAGACCCTTCTTTCTGGTGGTGGGAGTAACTTTATTCTTAAGGCTGAGCATTGCTGGGCAAAGGGAAGAAGAAAATCCTGACTCACCCAGGGGTAGCTGTTCGGTGAACTGGCCAACCCACTTTTGGTGCGGTTCCTATAATAAGGGCCATGGCTCCTCCTGTTCTTGCTGAACATGGAAGTCCAGGAAAGGAGCAGTCGGTGCCTAAGAAGTAGCACCCATCGCCAGGTCTCCTCTTGACTTTCTGTTCTCTAATTCCCCAGGATTCCCTGGTGGCTTTGTCTCACGCACAAGAACGGCAAAAGGCCTTCAAGGAAATGAACAGCGGTTCTTTTCCTCTGGCTTGCGTGAAAGGGGCACCGTTGAAGACGAGAACTCAGAGAGTCTCCACCTCTCTTGTTCATGGGCTCTGTTAGACTAAGTCATGTGCAGAATGCACCAGTCGCTTGGGTGTCACAGGCACCAGGGCAGGGTAGCGTGGCATCTTTTCAGGAAACAAGAAGTCTTCCACTCCTGTAGCATTTGCAGCCTTACACACTGGAAGTCAAGACTTCCATTCCATGATGGGCACAGAGGTCAGCGATAGTGGCTACAACGATTGAATTTTTCTTTTGTTATTTTCCTACCCCTGGAAGAACACAGACAAGGCAGAAATCTTTGGCATCAATGGTCTTATTTAGCCGTCTTTTTAAAAATCGCATCAGCTAGAGTCCTAGGAATTGTTAAATAAAAAATAAAAGAAGCAAATCCTAGGAAAGAAAGGTCTAGAGTCCCAAGCCTACCCTGCAATTGTAACCAGGTCCAACACTATATTCATAAAGTAGTGTCTTCATCTTGAAGGAGGAAAGGGATTGTTAAAACTATAAACGCAGGATAAAGGAAGAACGCTGTTCATCTTAGGAAGAAAACTGTACATTTAGGTCATTCGCGAGAGTGCTTGAAAAAGAAAAGACTCCTGTGACCATAAATAATTGGATTTCTTACAGGGGCACACAATGCTTCAGGTAACTCCTTTCTTCTTCATCTGGGGTTTTGATACCTGTCAGGAGGGAGTTAGGGAGAAACACTTCACAGGGGAAGGAGGTGGATAAAAGGGAAAGATCTGACAGTTGCCATTGTTTCCGGGCTGTATCGTTTACCTCAGTTAGGAGTCACTAGTGTGCCAGACCTGGGGGTCGGGGGCAAGAGGAGAAGTTTACACAGCCATGGAAGGCTTGATGGCTGGGGTATACATCAAAGTGCCACAGCAAATATGAGCAGATTTGTTTAGGTACAGGGATCAAGATAACAGGGACTTCCTTGCAATGTCCCACCATGCTGGTAGGAGTGTTTCACATCCCAACATCAATTCCTTCCGGTCTTTCAG